GGTAGACCTTGTACTTTGAATGTCTCAGTTCAGTGCTGTGACTATGGTGGTTCTTGGATGACCTCTGAACTTTTTGAAGTCAGTCTTTTCAAAATAAAACTACATGGCTTTGTTAGCTGGGCATTCTGGATCCATTATGTTTGTTAGTATTCGGAAGTAAACGGAAGGGAGTTCCACAGGTGGGAAGTGTAAGAAAGAAAACTGTTGGAGTAGAAGTTGGTTGCACTTAGCTATTTCGAGAGGAAACGGGGAGGTACCTAGATACCAAACTAGTAGCACGCTTAAATTCATGTAAACAAAAGGCTAACCAAAGACAAAAGCAATATTTATTCTGTACAATACAGAAATGTGGCACATTCGTAAAAAGGGATTGGGGAAAGGACGGTCTTCTTCTGTCTTAACTATAACTTAGCTAGCCGCAAACACTGACCCAATCATACGAAACAATATTCCTTACACCAAAACAACACATTCATTCGTACCTTTCTTACTACAACCACCATAATACCTCTTTGTCTCTATGAAAATACTAACTAGTCCCCATATTTACAATTCATTTTCTGTGGGGAAGGGAATAAACACAACAATTAAAAAGTTAACCCCAATGAGTATTTACAATATGCAATAAAAAACTATTTACAAGAAACTAAAGAAAATAAGATTAGTAATAAAACCCCCACAATTACTAAATGTGACAGAAACATCACTTCACTGGCCCGAAATCAATGCGGGACTATAATAGTATAAAACATTCATTCATCCCAATCATTTATCACACTGGCATGCACTCATTCAGACACAACAACAAATACGAAAAAAAGCACTCACGCGAAAACGAAAGGCATCCCGCATCCACCAGCGAACTGAAATCACTGACCACCCTAACGAGGGAGGGGATGGGGAATTAAACTTAAAAAAAAAAATAGGGACAGAAAGAAAAAAGGGGCCAATGAGCATACATTTAATTAAGTTAACTAAAAAAAACTAACGCATCAAAAAAGAAAACCTAAGCTAGCCACCAAAGACAAAAGCTCGTTTGAGCAGTCGCCATGAAAATATCTATAGAAATGACAGAGGAAAACCGCGTTGTTCGGTGAGAAAGTGACTGAAATCGAGACGCCAAGTCAGAACCGATTACATTGCAGATTTTCTTTGGATTTTGTCAAGAATCTCGAGATGACTAGCAGGAGCACGAGACAGGATATGGCAACAGTATTCAATGCACTGACGAATGGTTGTTTTGAAAATGTTCAAGATGGACTGTGACGAGAAAAAAAAACTACCTTACGACATCAAAATCCGTATCTAACTATAAAAGATTAAACAGACAGAGCTTGTGGTTTGGAATAAATAAAATAATTTGGGATGAATACGTGCTGCGTTATAACATCATTTCGCCAACGATTTGTTGATTCCAACATAACGTTAGTCATATATATAAAACTATATTCAAATACGTTGCTACAAAGTAAATTATAACTTTTTACAAACGTATATTTTTTACGTTCAATAATAGATTTTACAGACAAAACCAACATGGCTTCTCTTATCAGAAGAGTATTACTTCGTCTCTTGTTAAATTTGTTAAAATCCGGCATATTTCAAAATTCCAGACGCCAAAATGTTGAATACATTCGCTGTGCAGATGAACCTTATAAATATATGTATACAAAAATAAATTACTACATTTTAGAAAGAAACCAAAGAAAATTGAACTTACTATTCAATTCACATGAAAGACGAACACATAATACTTATTGATATTTTGTTATTTAGAACTCATAGTTGTATATATATATATATATATATATATATATATATATATATATATATATATATATATATATATATATATATATAACTTTTCTAGACTAGAATGCCAACAAGCAAAAATTAAAAAGGGTGGCGTAATATTACAATATTAAGATAATTAGTCACATATGGCTAAAACTGAGGGAAATAACAACAAGTGGAGCCTAATGAAGGGCCTTTTTGAAAAAAAGACTTGAAAAGAAAAAAATGATCATTTGAGACCCTATTTAAACTTTATTATCCGCGCGACGGATGCATGGAAGCATTTTGCGTAAACAAACATTACAATAAACTTATACCAAATGTAAATGAACACAAACATTACAATAAACTTATACCAAACATAAGTGCTTAAAAAATCGGAAACTACTTTTATTGCAATACTGAACTGAATGTCAGCATTTTGATTTTTATACTATCTTTGACTATAGAATATATATATATATATATATATATATATATATATATATATATACATACAAATGTTTAAATAATTCGACAAAAGTTCTTTAACAAATAAATATTATCAAAGACGACAGACATTATTTCTCGATTAATTTTGCTGATCGACTTTTCAAAATACGAATAATATTACGTAGAAAAGAGACAGATATAACAAATATTTTATAAAATCACTACAAAAATAGCCATTTTGTTTCAACACTTCTGGTGTCTTATCAAGTGATGGTGTTGAATATATATATATATATATATATATATATATATATATATACATGAATATCTAACCAACAACAACATTCGCCGGCCGTCCAAGATTTCCAAAACCGCTGCTGAACGCTGAAGTAACCACTTCAATCAAGAGCTAACATTATCATAGGTTGTGATTTAAGGTTAATCAGAAGGCTGCTAATATCGAATGGTTGTAGTTACCTTTGTGTCGATGCTGATCCAAGCATGGCGATGACGTACAGGGAAAATAACACTCGAATAAATTGAACAAAAGTAAATATTGCTTTTTATATCAGTCCTCCGTACAATAATTGGTTTATATCAGAGTTCGCATGCAATTAATTCTCAGCCCAACCCGCGTCTATCTCCGATCTGGTATTATTGTTAACCTGGTAAAATTTGGTTTGTTGTTCTTACCAAGGTTCGCACAAGGCTGAAGTCGGGTGGGTCTATTCGGTGGGCAATCCGCTGGGAAGTATCACGACCATTGCCTGAGACGGACGCCCTGTCGTCTCCTCTCTTGTCTCTTCTGCTTCCGTTCTCTCTTGCATTTGTATTTATAGACATTCGACCAAACTGCTATGGCGGCGGGATTCATTACGGTGAATCCTTTCCGTTTTACGTCATAACTTTGAGGATTTTTTTCCTCTTCACCCTCTCATATTATTATTCTCACTAAATCTCCTGTGAGCGTATTTGGCTTATCCCACCACTTCATTGGCATTTGTTTTCATTTTTTCGATTTAAGGGAATCAACTCCAAGTTCGTTGTTTACGAAAAATGAAATTTTCGCTTTATAGCTTGCATTTGCAGCTGTGTGTCAATCAACTTTGACCCCTAAGTCTGGGTCAAGTTTTCATTGTTCAAATTGCTCGCCATACAATTCAAGTCGTTTATGTGTGAATTAAATCCTCAATTCTTCCCACGGGTTTTTGGTATTAACCCTTCTTGTTTCAATGTCTCTCAGCACATAACACTTTCTTATGTTTTAACAAATCTTTCTTCCGTTTTACCGCGGCAACGACAAATAGTATCAAACACACACACACACACAAACACACGCACACACATATATATATATACATGCACACACACACACACACACACACACAATATATATATATATATATATATATATATATATATATATATATATATATATATATATGCCAAAAACTCATAATTGATATAACAAAAGTTAATAAATGTGAACACGCTACCACCCCTGTCTAAATGATTAGATTTCCCTGTATCCAAGGAAACAAGAAATTATGAATTATATTTGCATTTAAAACTCAGTAAATTTAAAAATAAATTATTACAAAATTCCCTTGAAGATGAAAGAGAACTAATGCTTTTAATTTAATTATATAATTAAATTAAAGTGAATATCTTTAGCTTCGACATTTGAAACATGGTAATTCCTGTGTAGGAAAGAAACCATATTTTAAGTCACTTAATTTATAATATTTATGCTTTGTTAATTTACATTGAGCACTGTTTTTTTTTTAAAAATAAAATATCAATAAGAACACCGGGTTATATATCTTACTGTTCTTTTTATTATAATATATATATATATATATATATATATATATATATATATATATATATATATATATATATATATATAAAAAACATGTTGAAAAATTTATTGAAAAAGGCTTTCATTTTTTTATTTTAAAAACAATGTACTTCTTTAGGCGATGGTAAATAACTGGTAATTAAATTTTAAGGAAAAATTTAAACACAGTGTTAAAAGAATGTAGAAAGTCAAAGTGGGGAGAACATACGGTTAGAATTAAAAATAGACTTGTGGGTATGTGTTAAATAACTCGTCCCAAATTCTTCAAATTTAATATCTGTTCGGTTTCGGATTCAAACGTAAACAAAGCAATTCATAAAAAAGTAATGGGCATTTTTTTTTTTTAATTTGTAGGATATTCAACACTATAAATATTAATTTTACTGGATACATTTATTTGAGTAGGCGCTTCGTTTATTAAACAATTTTTTTTTTCGACTACCGGCCTGATTATTCGAGTAATTTTATTAAAGTAAAAAAATATGCGTCCTCTTTCAGGATTCGAACTGCGTTTCCCTTTACATCAGACCCAACCTGCTTTACACAGATTCGGCCACGTAAGACATTATGAAGAAAATAATAAAGATGATGAATTTACTTCAGAAAATTAACCTATATCTGATCGCCGGAATGAGAGGAGTTTTCGATTTATTATTAAGATTAAGATTTAAGATTTCCAGGAGACTATAAGTAAGAGTAAAAAAAAAAAGACGAGCACAAAATAAGATATGTTTTTACTATAAAAAAAAAAATAAATAAAAAATAAGTTAGATAAACTGCGGATTCTCTGCAAAAATAAAGATCTTCGAATGAAAAGGATGGCAATGATCGATTTTAGCAGTTGAATTGGCAGAGATTTATTGGCCACATCTGAGTCTGGATTACGTCTTAGTTCTGGAATATGATGTAAAAGATGCTGCACCAGTCAGACAACTGTAAGAGGATGACGGTGAAAATATCAGTCTATCAAAATACGATAAAAAGAAGCTAATGTGAAATACACTGATTTTCAAGGAGCAAATTTTTCTGTCTATCGCAGTCTTTTTAATTCTGTCTATCTGTCTGTCTGTCTCTCTCTCTGTCTGTCTATCTATCTATCTATCTATCTATTTCAGTCTTGTTGATTATATCCACCTATACATAAATCTAGAACCTTTAAATTATACCTATCTATCTATCTATCTATCTATCTATCTATCTTTTCTTTTTTTTTTTTTTTTTTTTTTAAGCATTGTGCCCCAAGCAAGGCGTGAAGCCACTAGGATGCAGGGGGTTGCGGAAGATTTGGAGCGAGAGCAGATAAGAGTGATAGGAGAAAGGAAGAGGAGAAGGATAGTGGGTAGATCAAGGTAATTGGAGATGTCGATTGACATTACATTTAAATAGTTGGAGATTATAGCTTTCAGGGAAACAGTAATTGGGGAGGGTGTTCCACTGGCGAGAGGTGCGAGGTATGAAGCTATTGGAGTAGAAGAGACGGCTACATTTTGAAGGTTTCTACGGTGTAAGGGTGAGAGCGGGATGCCAGCCTCGTAGGGCGCTTGAATTCATGGTGTCTGGGAACCAGAGAAAGCAGCTCGTCAGAGCAGTTACCATGAAAGTATTTGTAAAAAAGACAGAGAGAGGCGACGGCGCGTCTGTGAGAGAGTGACTGCAAACAAGACGCCTAGATCAGGGCCAATTAGATTACATATCCTTCTCTGGATCTTGTCAAGAACTCTGAGGTAAACAGAAGGTGCTCCAGCCCATATATGGCAGCAATACTCCATGCAAGGGCGAATGGTTGTTTTGTATATTTGAAGTATCGATTCTGGGGAGAAAAATTTCCTGGCGCGGCACAGAGAGCCAACTTTCCTCGCGGTGGAAGAAGCAATTGACTCAATGTATTTGTTCCATCTCAGGTCAGCAGTCAACGTGAGACCGAGCAGACGCAGGAGTTGCTCTCAGGAAGTTGACTATCAGACATTTTAATGGGGGCAAGGGAAGGATCTCTATGGTGGTTAATGGAGAGTAATTTAGTTTTTTGTGGCGTTAAAGTAAACCAGCCAATTCTTGCCCCAGTTAACAACCGATTGGAGGTCCATTTCAAGACGCACGGCAAGGTTAGTTTTGTCGCCGACACTATCTATCTATCTATATCTATCTATCTATCTATCTATCTATCTCATTATATCTCATTCTATCCTTATTTACCTATCGCATTCTCTTCGTATCTATCTATCTATGCCATTCTCTTCTTCCTTCCCCATCTCTGTATCTCAAGATATTTAAACATATATATATATATATATATATATATATACATATATATATATATATATTACAATAAACGTGCAATCAATTTACAAATACATGAATTATTCACACAAAACTAATGCAAAGGTTAATGATTTAAATGGCGAGACATCCAATTGCAAACAATTCAAATAGTACACAAAAACCTCCAGATCCGTTATGAATGAATTGATCCTTGTTTATATAAATTTCTGCCGTATTAGTTGTTATTTTTTTACTACAAGCTTTCGTCTGTTCCTACAGACATCTTCAGGTATATAATAGATGTTGTTCTTTTTTTTTCTCTTAGTAATAAGAGGACATCGAAAATATATGTGTATTGTATCCGAAATGCTATTGAAAATGAGTTATTGGTTTTTTGAACGCGCCAAAGCAACGCTGAGTTTGATTTTAAATTTTTTAAAGTGTTTGCGTTTATACCAAATATGGTGATGAACATTATTTTACTGGTAAAACAAACACACGAAAGCTTGTAGTAAAAATAACAACTAATACGGCAGAAATTTATATAAACAAGGATCAATTCATTCATAACGGATCTGGAATTTTTTTTGTACTATTTGAATTGTTTGCGCAGATGGATGTCTCGCCATTTAAATCATTAACAAAACATTAGTTTTGTATATGAATAATTATATATATATATATATATATATATATATATATATATATATATATATATATATATATCTCAAAATTCCCAAAAGGATAGAATCAGTGGAACTCAATGTCCAGGACAGAGTAAGGATAAAATGTAAAGGCTCAAACACTTCATCCAATTCATCAGACTTACAAATCAGTGTTTGAGCTTTTTTACATTATATATATATATATATATATATATATATATATATATAGATAGATAGATAGATAGATAGATAGATAGTGATGAGTAATTTGCCGTCACTTTATATTTTAATTTCGTATATGTGCGTTCTTTGTTTTTGATTTTCTCGACTGAACAGTATAGTAGGGTCTGTTGGGCACCGTCTGTGAGAAAAAGATCACCATGACACAATGCACTCCGCCATAAATTTTGAATCGGTGTGTTGTATAGTTTGTCATGCACGTCAGGAAGCTCAATATAAATACTTCAGAGTGTTTGTGTATTAATCTGAGTACAGTGCCGGGGTTTGAGAAAGAGTTGGATGAGTTTAATGGTGATTACGAAGCTACGGCATCTCAGAAAACTCAGTTTTTTCGTTCTGATAAGAAAATAACACCTGAATTTGTTTTGTGAGGGGTTCATTATAATATGTGTACGTATATATGTATCTGTGTATGTTTGCATATATATATATATATATATATATATATATATATATATATATATATATATAAATTTCTTTTTTATCTATCTCATTCATTTCCTAACTAACTCAGTATTTTTTTAATACTATCTATCTCATTCCCCGTCTACATTCATGTCCTGAGTAAGACGATAAATTACATCTAACAGCAAGGCCACTGATCAGGAGGTTTTGAGGAGCATGGAACCACCTCTTAATTGCTGGTGTTCTCGGGTCCACCCTGACCCGAGAGGTAGCACCTGTTAGGGGCCCAGCTATAAGTAAATAGTTAACTCCTAAACTGGTGTCAAAACACTACTACGAAAGTGTAAAAATGTTTTAATACCAGAAATACTTTTTAAGAAAAATATTACCAGCAATACATTTTTGAAAAAGAAACATTACCAGTTATCTATTTTTCAAAAAATTATTACCAGCAATAAAAATTTTGTCGGCATTAAATCAACCATTGAGGGTGATATGCCGGAAATCAAAGCAAAAAAATCACATTTATTTCATAACTAACTCAGCATTTTAATTCTATCTATCTATCTATCTATCTATCTATCTATCTATCTATCTATCTATCTATCTATCTCATTCTGTTCATATCTATCTCTCTCATTCTCAGTGTTTGTATCTACGCAGTCTTTTATCTATCTATCTATCTATCTATCTATCTATCTATCTCAGTCTGCTTAGATCTATCTATCTGTCTATCTATCTATCTCAGTTTCTTCATATCTATCTATCTATCTATCTCATACTGTTCATATCTATCTCAGTGTTTATATCTACCCTGTCTTTTATCTATCTATCTCAGTTTCTTCATACTATCTATCTATCTATCTATCTATCTATCTCATTCTGTTCATATCAATCTATCTCAGTGTTTATATCTACCCTGTCTTTTTATCTATTTATCTATCTATCTATCTATCTATCTATCTATCTATCTATCTATCTATCTATATTCTTTTATATCTATCTATCTATCTATCTATCTATCTATCTCATACTGTTCATATCTATCTCAGTGTTTATATCTACCCTGTCTTTTATCTATCTATCTATCTATCTATCTATCTATCTATCTATCTATCTATCTCAGTTTCTTCATATCTATCTATCTATCTCAGTACTTTCGCATCTGTCTCTCTAAGACTATCCCATTCTGTTCATTTCCGATCAATCTCAACAGATGATTTACTGGCTCCATCTAAGTCTGGATTTCTGCTTTGTTCTGGGATGAGATGTCAAAGAATATGTTTTGCCATTTAATCAACTGTGAACCCATGTAAATCGGCAAAAAGTCATTCAAATGACGAAATAATGTGACTAATGCAAACCACACATGCCTTTTAATCAACGACATACTTTAATATCGCACTCCTGCAGATGTAAACGGTGTTCCAATAACTTGGACCGATTTTAAATGTGAATTAATTTTAAGCGTCTAATGATTTTCTTCTTTTTCTTTCAGATTTGGCAGAAATTTGGCCGATATTATTTTTCACGCATAATTATAATGACTTCAATAACATGATCCAATAAAGAAATAAATTTTCACCAATAAAACTGATTTATTTACTGCTCACTTTAATCCGTCTTAATGAAACACACTCATATTTAATCCGTCTTAATGAAACACCCTTTATCTATCTCTACAGACATGCAAATGTTTTACACCATGTTCATAAAATTATTATACACCTTTTTTCTGACGTACGGTGGCTGTTAATAATTATGTATAACTCAAGATTTCAGTGTTTAGATAAAGCAGTATTTAATAACAACCGAAAATAAATACTTGGCTAGAACAAAGGAGTAAATATCAGCCAAAGATAATTACCCATTTCAGTGAATACCTTGTTAGTAGCACGGCTCGGCTTAACGTCCGGTAAATTCTAATTCAAAACCCAAATCATCTACGCACAATAATTCACACTAATTCAACTGGATAGTTCCACTTAATAGTCACTCAATAATCACTTCAGTTAGTAGCCTGACGCTTCTTTTTATACACCTGGAGGAAAAGATATATTCATAAGTCTAGAGTGTCACGCTCGAACCTCGATATCTGTAGTAAATATTTTTCTTCCTATATGACAGTAACAAAATTAACTGCTGTAGATAAAAAGAAATGATATTTATGATTCTGTCTGTCTGTCTGTCTGATGCGGCATTCACCCTGGGCGGATTGAGCCGGCTTCTTCCTGTTATGAGAAGAAGATTCTTGGGATAAATTACAGAAGTAGGGTACCCAGGCCTACTCGGATAACGTTCTTGCTTGCCATGGGGTTCCCACAGACGCAGAGACAGGAACGACTAGAAGCCGCCGGTTACCGATGCAGACGCTCCTTGGATTTTCACCAGAGCCCTTGTTAGCCGGCGTGTGTGTATTTATGATTCTCCTGCTATATGTCCCGCCCCTTCGACTGCCTCGAATATGAAGAAGAGACTTGAAGCAAAAGAAATGTGTTTCTACAGAAGGATACTGAGAATACCATGCATCGAGGATGTTCACAACATCGAAGGTTTAGAGAAAATGGAAACAAAAAGGAAACTTATACTTGTTCTGTGACGTACGGCGGTCGTTAATAATTAAGTATAACTGAAAACTTATGGCCATCATCAAGAGAAAAATTTTCTGGTAGCATTGAAAGAAAATATATATATATATATATATATATATATATATATATATATATAATAGATATATAAAAAAGAAAGAGAGAGATAGAGATATTAACAATTTGTATTCACTCATTGAACTCGACATTTACAAGAGAAATGCCCTGGAAATGTCAAGTAATTATAGAAATTTTTAAAACGATGTATATTTGAAATTAAAGATGCTTTTTAAGATGACATTTGACAGTTTGTTTTTTTTTAAATATCAATTGTAAGTGTGTGTTTTTTTTTTCTCCCTAATATTTCTTCTCGAAATTTAACCTTAACGTTTTCTATTTGTATAGACAAAGCCTATGCTGAAAATGCATCTTGCGTGTACCAATGTTTAAATGTCTTTTGAATTTGGGTCTCAAAAGAAATCCAAGAATTCTGGCTCATCGCCAGATAATTGTAGATTTCGATAACGGTTTCTGCTGTTCATTTGCGAATAAAATGTTCCAGAATATCCGATGAAAAATCATCACGAGTATGATCTTCACGGGTGTAACACTCCAGTCACCTGGACGTCCGGTTCTATCTTCTTCTTCAAGGGTGAAATCTCCACCTCTGAATTTTGAAAACGATCTTCTGCAATTTCTTTCATTCACACATTCCTCTCCATAAACTGAGTGAATGTTTCTAGCCGCTTCGGCTGCTGAGTTTCCTTTCGTGAACTCAAAGCATTATGTGCCTCAGATGATTCTTGGGTATTTCCATGTTAGCAGGGTTTTAATCAAACAAAATTTAATTTTATTGTTCTCTGAAATAAAATTAGATCAGTTTAAATGCATCTAAACATAAAAATAATGTTCAGCTCCATTAGACATTATAAAATACTCTTTAAATTTCGTTCATTTTAGCAAAAAGTTAAAATTCGGACAGAACTTATGAGATGACCTGATAATATTATTGTTGTGGCCAAGTAATTGGTTAAAGAAATAACAAAACAAGAGGTTGCACATAAATAGTGTATTGAACAGTAAATTAAATAGAAGTGTGTTACACGACTTGAGAGTGTGTCTCGGTTGACCAGCGTTCAAACTATATCACCGTTATATTCAGTGACCCCCTCCCATGAGGGCACATGTGGCACAAGGCCGAGATTAAAGTAGGTCAATCGAGGCTATATGGCTTAGCCAAAAAGTCCCCGTAGAACCCGCATAAACGGGTTCAGGTCTGTCTACCTCCCCGGACGAAACTCTGCCCTTCGGCACAGCCTCGTCCGGGTTCCTCTCTGACAAAAGCAGAGAGTTCGACAGGAGCTGCGAACAACCTAATTTGAACAGTCTCTATCACCGTTAATATTTAACAGCCTCCCCCACAAGGCCGAGTTTACCGTTGGTTCTCCGAGCCCGTAAGTTCGGCTAAAAATATTCCCATAGAACCCGCATAAACGGGCCCGGGTCTGTCTATCTCTCCGGACAAAACTTTGTCCTTCGGCAAAGCTTCGTACGGGTTCCACTTTGCAAAAGATAGAAAGTTCGACAGTTGAAAACACTTTATCACCGTTATATTTAACGATGGCTTCCCCATGTGTATCGTATGTGGCAGAAGGCCGAGTTTATCGTGGGTTCTCCGAGCACGTAGGCTCGGCTAAAATTATTCCCTTCGAACCCGTATAAAAGCCTAGACGGGTTCAGGCCCTGTCTACCTCCCCGGACGAAACCTTGCCCTTCGGCAAAGGGTCGTCCGGGTTCCTCTCTGCCAAAGACAGAGAGTTTAACAATAATGAACGGTCTAGATCACCGTTCCCCCGAGGCTTAGTTTTCGTACTATTTTATAGTAAGTGGAAGAGTCCATAATAGCATCATTAGAGGGAAGACAATACAACTATTATAAAGCAAGCAAGCAAATAATACATGCAAGGCTAATTAACAGTAACGAGGCAAAGCAACAGTAACGTGCAAAACTTTCACAAACTAAGAACTGAGTTTGACGTACAAAAGCAAATTCTGATAAACGAACATGGCTTCCTGACTTCAAAGCAAGATAGACCGGGACTCTGTCAAATTACACCAAAAAGTGGCATATCATATTGGCAAGAAAGAAATCCCAGTATGCATTTGTGTGCTTCTAACTATAAATTGGGGAAGGGTAAGTGTTTAGTAGTCATTCCTAATCAAGAATATTTTAGTAGGATCTCTATGAGTATGCTGGTTTGTGGTATCTGTTTGGATGGTGATAGATGACTTCTTGTGGTATCCTTGTAATGGATGAATGGGTTGTGAATCTGATTAGCTTGTTCTAGGTCAGTTAGTGTAAGATCAGCTTCATCTCACTTCCTTCTTTTGGCCTTGTGACACAGTTGCATGAAAATGCAATAAATATACGTTCCTAATCATGGTTGGAATCAATATATGCACAACAGAATCTTGCTTGACTATGAAGGAGAAGGGGGTATGCTCGAATCCTACTGGAGGGCACATTTCTTTAATAAATTTTCTCAAGTGTGCAAGCTGGTAGAAGAGATAAGCTCGGTTTAAAAAACCAAGAGGGTACTCTACTATAATAATGGTATACACTAGAAATAAGATTTGAAGTAATAAAGATACGTTGGTTTAAAGGATAAAATCCATCAATTCTTTAAAAATTGCTTTGTTTACGTTTCGGATAGGAAACTGTTCAGAAAATGACTTTCGAGGGAATCTTAACGAATGAATCTGTTTTAAGGCAAAAGGAACTTTGCTAGAAACTCTCTGTAGCCAAGCGGTAAAAGTAGACCGGATCAGACAGAGTCGAGTTCTGCTGAATGGCACATTATCTTTATTACGTTTCCTTGAGTGCGCAGGCCGGGAGATGTAAGAAACGCTATTTTAAAAATTAATCTATGTGTTTCCTCAAATACGGATATCAAACAAATATTACGTCGGATTAAAAAAAAAAAATTAAAACAATTAATTCTTTAGAAATTGCTTTACGTATCTGATAGTGTTGAGGGGGTTCTCCCCTTTTTTGATACAAATAGACTCAAACAGGGTATACATATACTACTGCTAGTGAATACCCGAGGGTGAGCGAACGGGAAAGAACGAGAGCGACGAACGAGCACGAACCAGAACGAAGGTAACGAGCAAGAGTCACAGTGAGCAAGCACGTAGACTCAGTAAGAAGTCATACAGTGATACGTCGATACCAAAGGCTATATATATATATATATATATATATATATATATATATATTTTGCTACTAACCCGCATTCCTGGAACTACTAACCTGCATTACCAGTTTGTATTGTCACATTAATACATTTATTTTCCTATATTCCTTCTTGGCGTTTGTTATTTATTGATACAGGATTTCATCCCGGAATTCACTACTGATAGGAAATTGTGCAAATATGTCTCGTGAGAGACGTTAATACACGTTGGTGTTGCTTAATTGGCTGTGTTTAGCTACAATTCAGCTAGTTTTTTGGGTTTTTTTAAACCAAATCACCGCAAGCAAATCAGGAGTGCTACTAGCATGCAAGGTGTTACAGAGCATAAGAGTAAGAGTAAAGAGGAGTGTTTCGGGAAAAAGGATAAAGAGAAGG